AGGGAGCCTGCCACTAAGAACGGCTGCGAGGAGACTAGGCAAAACAGTAAAACAGCAAAAACCAAAATAGATACTGACAATAGACTACAAATATGCAGTTAATATACAAACTAAACAGTCACCAATACAGGGATAACAACAAGGCAAACAAAACAGTTGAAAACAATCAGTCTCTCTTATTGATCTTTTGTATAATGTGATTTGCATTATTTCACCAAACATTGGAGCCATAAAAACAGTTCTAACATTGATGCAGGCATAATATAGATGCTCATGTATGTTATTTGACCAGTCCAACTTAAGACTTACATACTGAAACATTAGAATGAACCYGTTGTGTATGGTCTTTATCACAGTTCGTACTCGTAAAGCAGGACCACCACCTGAGAGGAGAATGGAGGGCAGTATTGATGTCATAGGAGCAGTAGGTTCACGAGGTAAACAATGAAGMACAGACTATCAAACATGCTTTGGATAGATATATAACTATAAAACTTATTACTACAAAAAAAAATYGACGTTTTGGCRCTATTGGGCACCATTTTCAAGAGTATAGTATTCTGAGTAGTTTGTAGTTTGAGTCTATTACAAATTTGAATATTGCATCTCTAGGGAATAAGTTGTTTGTTTTAAGTAATTTACTATATATATTACACTCATTATAACACGCCATTTGCACAGTGCATGCGTTGATTTATAAGAGAATTGCTTAAACATTGCCATTTTCATAATATTTTCTCTCCATTCAATGCTTGACGTTAATAGTTGAAAGTCGGCGGCATCAAGATGAAGACATGTTGCCCCCTCACATGTTGCCTGATGGGATGTCAAAACGAGGTTTTCCAGGTATGAACTTTTCYAGACATAACTTTTTGAACTGGCATTAATCATGTATTCCTGGAATATCCTCAGGTCCTCCTATGTTCAATGTACCAACATCTGATCCCTCTATGGGACCACCTCAGCACTTGGGTGGTGGCCCACCAGTATCATCAATGGCTGGCCCCCCACCAATGCACCAGGGAGTGCCACCACGGTTCCCACCAGGAGGACCACCAGGTGGCCCAGGAGGCATGCCAGGGATGTTACCACCAGGTATGCAGCAGCCCCCTCCAGGCATGACCCAACCTCCTGCAGGCTTCCCACCCGATGGAATGCCCCATGATTCAATGGGTAAGTGTCTGTCAGTCCGTGTTTGGTGTGTGTCAGACAATCACCATTGGTAAATCTCAGTCTTTTTGTTTGACATTTTATTAAACTGTCAGCAGTAAATGGTATTGTTATTCTTAAACACATGCAGTTGTTTCCATATTTTCCTGTTGATCTTCATGTCACTAACACAAAAATGATACGTTCATAAATTATTTGCATGAAATTTTGATTCCATTTTTTATTTAACASCACATATTTACACAAGCAAATATAAACAAAAAAATACATACACATTTATGTAATCATAGATAATAAAGTCTTAATCCTTCAGGTTTTCCTGGTCGTGGTATGGGGCGTGGCAGGGGTAGAGGATTTCATCCTGGAATGCCAGGAATGCCTCCTCCTGGCGAGTTTCCTCCAGGAATGGACGAAAGGTAAGCACTGCATGTTTKGATTGATTTATTACTTCACTGTTAACATTATGACATACACAACATCAACCACTATTATTATAACAATGATAAAAAGTCATTAAAACAACCTAACAGTGAAACAACAACAACAACAACARCAGYAGYARYA